TATTTTAAATTTATCTTTCCTTTCACTTTCACTAACCAATCTGTTTCTACAATCACCGTGTAATCCTGTGCTTCCGTTACCTCTACGTCGATAGGTATTTTGATTCTATTTATTTCAATAGATAAATCTTCCACAACACCTAGTAGGTGTTTTCTTTGCCCGTATACATCAACCAAGTTCTGGGTTGATGGTTTATTAATGTCCTTACCAATTCTTTTTAGAAATTCATGCGAAACTAAACTTCTGCTCGATTCTGTGTCTAATATTAGATAAATAGGATGCTGTTCCACAGCAGCCTCACAATATATTACTTCTATAGGTTGTTGAATAGCATCCTGCGCCTCTATTCAATTATTGAAGATTAATGATACACTATTACTAGAGGAATCTACTGAACTTATTTCATCAGCACCCTCACCCTTGCGAGAAGTTGCCTTTAGGCATTTAAATGCTCGCGGAGGGCAGTTCCAATAGCTCCAGTGAGTTCTTCCACCGACAGGGCGAAATAAGTTTGGCTTCCATTACTATTATTACTAGGGTTGTTATTAGACCGGCTATTGTTGGTCTGACTTTGACTAGTTCTTTGCTGATTATTCATTATAGGTCTTGCAGAACTGTTATCACTCTCCTGTTCATTCATGGGACGATTTTGCTTGGTTCCTCCATTGTTGTTATTGGAGGGTCCCTTTGTAGGACATTCCCTGGCAATATGATCTCGGCCTTCACATTGCCAACAAAGAATATCAGATTGGATGGAACATGGTTGTGTGGGTGTTTTTTTGAGGCGGGTTGGATGAGGTGCTAGGGGCCATTTTTTTATTTTCATTTTGTTTTTGTGCTAGCATTTTCATATTCTGTGCCATTTCCATGATAGCCTTTTTAACTCCCCAATCTCTTCATTACCAGGGCCTTCACGACTTAGATAACTTCTCTTCAAGGAGTATGAGCTTAAGGGGCCTCCCCGAGAATACACGGCTTCAGCAGCTTTTGCTTTCTTTAAGGCCTGCTATAAGGTCGTCGGACATTCCATTTCTACCAGTTCCCTTAACTCTGTTCTTAGTCCATCTGTGAATTGGCGTATGCGATCAATTTGTAGGTATCTTCTTATAGGGTCTGCTTTTCAGTACAATCTTTTCAACTCATCAAAATAAACATCTACTGTTTCCCCCCAATCCTTGTTGGCGGGCTCTCAGTTCAGCTACCCATCGATTTTGCTGATGCATTGTGCAAAACTGCTGCTAAAAAAGGTGAACAAAGGAGTGTTGTGAGTGATTACGGTCATTCCAGGCCCAAACGTTACGGGCTCTGCCTCTCCACCAAGTGTATGCCACTCCTTTTAGGTGAGAGGGTAAAATGTCGAACCTCCTTTGTTCAGTCACATAGTTAGCAACACAGGCTTCATCGAATTCGTCTAGCCACACAAGAGGGTCTTAATCACCACTATTAAATGTTAGAAACTTGACCACTTTAGCTTCTTGGGGTTGATTCGTAGTATTTCCCATAGCAAGTATGAGGTTATTCATACTCTGTAGTAATTGATCCATCGGGTTTGCCGCGACAGCTCTGGGAGCTTGGTGTGGCTGGGGTTGAGGTTGTTGAACAGGCAGGGGATTCTGTCATGGGGGTAAGTTTAATGGTCGATTAGAATATAGGGGTTGTTGATATCTATTCACTGGCCATCTTGGGGGTGGTGGGGTTTACACAGGAGTAGACGAGCATCTTTGGGGCGGTAGACTATTAACTTCGAAGTGCATGTAGGGTGCCTGTAGGAAATGGTTGTCTTCTGGTTGAGTTCCCGGTTCCAATGGGTTCATAATGGGTTTATTAGTAACTTGAGGCCTCACATAACCATGAGCATAAGTTCTCTCGACCCTCTGACGAAGATAGCGATTTTTGTATTCTTTGTGATAATTGTTACTTCCGTAGCGATTATCTACTACCATGTTATGTAAAGGTAAGAGTAGAACAGAATCTTCCAGATCATGCATTATGATTTGTTCATTATCATCGTAATTGGCATCATCCGGATAGGTTTGGTAAGGGGTTGGGAAGGATAAATAAACATAATGAATTTGATCTTCAGATACTTCTAGTAATGCCCTGGGCTCCTCCAGGCTAATAAGATCATTTTTGTTTCTCATTCTATTTTGGGATTCGGGTCTGGCGTCATAATACTCTGGGTGTTTTTGCCTTCGGGTAGCGGCAGTAGATGTTTCTGCTTGTGGACTGGTAGATATATTCAAGATTGATGGGGCCGATGCATCCTTTGAGTCTTCCGATGAGGTAAAAGAAATTTCTGATCTGGTTTGGGTATTAATTCCATTATCAATATCAGGTTCTGAAAAAATATGTAGTCGCAAAAAAACTCATATAAAAGTCTTTAACTTTCTCTTAGGCAACCCGGTCCTGTCGTCGTCACCAAGTGTAATCGAAATATTCGATTAGTAGGTCAAGTGGTT